ATAATTGAAACAAAATGTTTTGTGCGAATTTTTAGCATATACCACAAACTGTTACGTGTTCAGTAGACAGAGACGGTAACTCTACATCATTTTAAGACGATAATATGCACGATTTGAACGGGAAAGCCTTTGCAGAAAAGTGACCAAAGTGAACGCTTAGTAACGTTCAGCTTCGAAAAATCAATTTCGTGTAACCCCAATCACGGGCGAGATCGTCTTTATAGCACTGTGTGTGCTAAGCTAAACGTTCACAGTAAAGCTGCTATACAGAAGCATACGAAACATATTAGGTGCGTTCCTCGGGGTACGCTCTACTGCGCTGACTGCTTCGATTCAGTCTACATGCTGAAAGCGGGTTGCCAAATAAAAATAGCGCAAAACGGGCACAAATTCTAGTGCCAGCAATAATTTCGTGCTTCCTGTTCTTGAGTTACGACAGTTGTGTGCCATTACGCTTGCTTCTGCTACTATATTGTATGACGGTGGCGTCGTTTCAGGAGGCCGAATAAGGTGGGGAATAATAAGAGTACGACAAAAAAACATGGCACAGTTAGAGCAGCAACGCAAGTGGTGCCTTTCTGTCTAAAGCTTTCTTTTATATTACACATGCTGGCATTTTTCGTCAGTTTGAGATGATTAAATCATTTTCTCTCAGGACGAATATTTTCTCTCCTCTATATCAGGAGCCAGTTGATTGCCTGTGAAATTCCTAATAAGAAAAAGCATGAACTCGGACGATGTCGACCACTCTCCTAGAGGCAGTTAAAGCTAAGGACATGTTTTGCAGCTCTTTGCCTTTCGTCGCTGGTAGCGTTTTCTTCCGGCGCCTTTTCCGAGACATTTATACCAGTCTTATATGGCTGATTCAGAAGAGTACGTTAATGCCATCAAAAATCACTGCGTCGTCCCCTTTTCAAGATTTCAACTACTGGTCCTGTCGCGTCCGGAAGGCGCCTTTCTTTAAACAGCGAACCACGTGAACCTTAAACAGTGCTACACTTATGGCTAGGTTCTAGTATGACAGCGCTTTACTTACGTGCGGTATTTAGCAACGTTTGCAGGACACAACAAATTCACATACACACCATTTAGGATCACCAGTGGTGCACTTCTCCCCCCCTCCCCCCTCACAATAACTCGTTAACTTTAGCCTGAACTTACCATAAATCATGTAATTTCTTCTTAGATGTACATGCAGGCCATTCAACATCCATTTACGTATATCAAAGCTCGAGAAGACATTGTGGGATTGTGTATTGATGTTTCCACGGAAATCATCCTACCATATCAGGCGAATAAAACGATAATCGATTTAAGACTCGTAAACGGCGTCTTAAACCAGTGAAGCTAACACAATTATAGGTAATTCAAACGAGAACTAAGGTGTACAAGACGTGAGAGATGAAGTTCAATTGATTACATTCATTTATAAATGGTTGCCACTCCCCTCATCGCTGAACTCGATGATATTGCTAACAGCCGCGGAAGCCCATCACGGAACCCTTCGCAGTTCATATGTGACAAGAGTTAGCGTGGAGTGACCCAACGGGCTTTTGTTAAAAATATATGTATAACGCACGTATTTAATTGGATATTTCGATGTGGAAATTTATTACGTGCTGCGAGTTCTTACTTAGAATAGAGCTGAATGGGGTGCGTTTAGGGAGCTTGGACAACTTTTAACAGACGATTCGTGTTTTATCATTGATAATTATCATAATAATAGCCACCACGATATCAAATATGGTTAGCGGCATTATATTAGTTTCCCGAATGTTGTGAGGTGTTTTAAAACGAGCATACATTGAAATGGTTTCACAGCTTTGTACACAGCAATAGCATGACGTACCAAAGCAACATTCGAGGTAAACCCAATAAAGGCAAATCGAAACCCCTTTTGCAAGATTCATGTGTTCTACACAGGGCACAATCCTTGCTCGATGTTCGCAAAGCCTTAATGATCCCAAAACCCTCTGGGTTTATACACACACAAACGATATCGTGAGAGTTATAGCGGTTCAAAAATTATGAAGAAAGCGTTATTGCGCATATTTGTGCTTATTCAAAGCACAGCAGTATACTGTGAGGCTTTTTAGGTTTCGGCAAAAGAGATCTGACGAAAAATAGCGCCTTTTTCTATAAGATTCACAATGTAATATTATTTCTTACTTTTAATGGCTCTTCCAATGCCCGTCTGACTGGCAATATACACTGTCATCTAAACTATAGTAACTTTCCCTCAACAAACGTCTACTTGTTAAAGGTCAAGAACATTGACAACGACAACGGCAACCATAACTTTGCCTTTGTTGCATTCTATTGGGTCTTAGCCTATGTCAAATGCTCGTCGAGGCATCTAGCAAAGCTAGGGTCTACATCCTGTGTTCTCATTATCCTTACATTAGACAAAGAAAAACCAATGTACAGCATCCAGAATCCTCCGTCCGTTTGGTGACGTATACGAAAACCAATACGAAGTTCTACTTTTTTTTTTTAGATGAAATTGTACGTCTCGTTGATCTTGAGACTTTGAGGGGATAAACAGCAACAAGCAGATGCAATCCACACTGAAGGTGAAGAATGAATTTCTGCCGACCCCCTACGATCGCGCTACCCAAGCGTGCCAAATAAGTGTGGTGTTTCTGCCGGTGTTGACCGGGGAAACCTGACCCTGTAACGGTGTCTAACTTCACTCAATGAAAGATTCTTTACAATTTTGCAATCTCGAAACCTCTCGATAGAGAGAAAAAATAAGGATAAATCCTAGGGTATGGTCCATCTGTACACATACTTGTTTATACACTACAGTATTGGCTCAGTAACTATGATAGCAGGACTGAAGCTACTGTAGAAAATAATAGAATGGTTTTTGTCTGCCTCTCCCAAGCGACGAAGCTGTTGAAGCAATGGAGAATATAGCACCAACAGTGATAAATGGAAACGTCTCTGATGCAACGTCAGTTCCTTGTGGACGAATCTTCTCGGTCGGCAGCGACACCGCGATCAATGCTTCGCTGCTAGTCAGAGTTCGATATGGTGCGAGAATCTCAGAGTTCGCCAAGATATGCCATGCTCGACAGTTCTTCATGAACCATAGCACTTCAGCTGTGAATTCCACCATTTTAAGTTCCATTTAAAAATGGGCATCTGTTTCCTAATGTCGTATGTTTGAATGCACAATTACATGAAGTGTGACATGAAACCAATACAAATTGATACTGAAATAAATCTTATGCCTCAACTTTACACTGATATGAAAGAACAACATGATGGAGTTAAATACAACTATATTCTACAGATTTTAGTATGTTTTAGATTACCAAAAAAGACCCGTGATAACATCAATCTATTAAATAATTTTCATCCTAAACATAACTAGCACTATTTGACTATGACGACGCCCCATGAAGGATAAGTATGCCAAACGCATTGTTTACTCACAGAACAAATAGAATTAACCAAGAGCCTTAAACTGTCTTTTAGAAAAAAAAGTATCTTAACGTTTGAGCCATTCCTGCAGATAATTCCTAATGACTTGCCTCATTATTCCATATTTGCAAAACTTCAGATATTCACTATGTCTTTTTTCGTTGCCTACTTGTTAAGCAACACCGTAGATATACCTAATACAATGAGATAGAACTCATTGATCCTGCTAACAGCCAATAGGATTAGCTAAATATTTATAGATCAACATAACTTTATAATGATGACTTTGCATTCCTCTGAGATAATCGGTCCTGGGTCCTTTTAATCAAAGCCCAGTTTAGATCATGGTCCGAGCGGGTTGGTTAAACGAAACGGAAAAGACCCATATACGAGTGCGCCCTCTCAAGGGTTTGCTGCATGGGTCGTGTGTCCCTCGATCCATGCAGTCATTGAAGGCGCCATAAGCCTCGGAAAACATACAACTCAAGCGAAGAAATAAGTGTCACAGTGTACGTTGGGCTTTGCCTTGACAACTTTTGCAAATGCCATGGACGGTGGGCCAATGTGCTTAACTAGTGAAAACGGGCTGATCAGAAGGTTTCAAGTAAATTTCATGCTCAATATATACGCTGTATAAGCTTATTATCAGATAGGTCTAAATCTACGACGGGCAACAAACTTCAGCAGAGGAACGGGTGTTCGTACATTTATACTAGCATTACTTAATTCTTTAGCTATAACGATATGCTTACATTGCTCAGCTGGCCATCAATGATTTGAAGAGTAACCTGAGGATTTGGAACCCCGTGTTGCCTTTATTACGCGAAGGTAAAGCAGACAGAATCGTTTCCCGCATGTGTACGGGAGAAATACCGCTTGATTCAACCGGCGGGGACCTGTCCTAGCATATATGCTAATCGAGCGTGCTTCAAATGAAGTAGAAGTCTAATGCGCGGTGAGTTCCGTGTGAAAACGTACCAGTCCCTATACGAATGTTTTGGCCGCTTGAGCTTGTCTAGACGCAAAGAAGAGACTCGTTTCCTGGTAGTGATGTGTTGCGTCCAAGAAAATCGTTCATTTTGATCAGTCTCGTTGTGCTGATACTTACATCTGCGGTAGTGGTACAACTGTCTAAGCGCATGACGTAATCGCTGCTAACAATCCAGGGAAAAGTTCTAACATATACATGTTACAACAATTTAACGTATACACGTTAAAGGCCAAATCCTTGTAGTGTTATTAACGGATACTTCAGCAGTTGCGCACCTGTGAACTAGCTTTTTGTCTACTATGATCAGACATCGGACGGTCTCAGTAGTTGAATTATCAAGCGGCGAATTTCATTTCAAATTGTACCGATACCGCTCTTTTAGTTCGCCTAGTCGTCTTCGAAGACACCGAAATTTCGATCAAGAGTGTTCAAGGGAGCTATTTGCTCAGGCATATCCTGGGCAGAGATGACTGCTAGATCGAAGCCTTATGAGAAAAAATTCCCGTATCTATAAATCTAAAAATGCTACCAATATATCGACAATGTCAGCAGAGGTATATGGCTGATATAACGAGCTTGTTTACTTCACAGCCCCGTGATAGTATCCAATGAGAGATACGACACCGTGTTACCCAAAGTTGAAAGCTATACAAGCGGAACAACAACTATTACGATGACGTGGTTACGATTTACCTAGATTTGTACCTGCACGAAAACGAAGTCTAAAAAGATATCGACACCTCCAATGGGATTCTAACCTGAGTGAGTGGTAATTGGCATAATTCGATTCGGATATATTAAAAGTTAATTTGAGAAACTAAAAGCGGGCAAAGTGGCGTGTAAGGAACCCGCAGACTGCCGGCGATAAACGGAGTTGCTGGGTTACTGTTTTGTCCGATCCTTTCGTTTGTTTTGGGTTCCATGCAAGGCAGCACCGGAAGTACATCAGATAAATGTCACCGATCTTCGAGCAAGGCTATTACCAGTCCAACCACGAACGACTTTTTAGCCCGCGCTGGGTATGACGTCATCAAAAAGATCGGTGGAGGCTCGTATTCGGAGGTAAAAGAGGTTCGACAGGGTCCTGACAGGTAGGTCAGCTAATGAACGATGAGATATTTGTTATTTTTTGCTTATGCAAATTAAAGGACAGCATAATACAAGGCTGGATTTTTGATGCACAATTGATAATTGTGTTTAGACAGAATAGAGGGAGATGGAGCAACGTCAGGTCGGATAGATTTATTTTTCAAGTTCACAGTTATATTTGAACGTAACTTCATAAAAATTGCTGCTGATAAACAACTTCAGATTTGCGGTGAAAGTGATTGATACAACAAAAGTGTCGGAAGATTTTCGCGGTCGCTTCTTGCCACGTGAAATTCAAATTCTCTCCAAAATCGAGCATCGATATATAATTAATGTACACCGAATTCTGCAGGTACGGCTATAGTTCAAAATCATTATTTCCTGTTCTCTTGTGAATATCCCCTTTTTTTTACATAGACCTTTAATTAAAAGGCTTCTGTCGAGACAAAGCAGTGGTTGTGTGAGCTTTTGTTTACTTGCTTGTATGAGCTTCTATTTCAATTGTTTGACGTTACGTACTCATTCCAGTCACTCACATCATTTTGCCTGGCAGGCTTAAATACTGATTTTTATCAGCTCGCCTTTAAGGTGTTCCACGTCTGTTTAACCATATCTATCGGAAATCGTAATATATCAATAAATTATACGCATATGGTGTAATTATACCGTATTGTCACCAACGTCGACAAGTACGAAAATCGCCTGTTGCTACTAATTTTTACAGGCCCGTGAAAAGGTCTTCATTGTGATGGAGCTAGCTACAGGCGGGGACCTTCTTGATTACGTTCGTCGTAAAGGTCACTTATCTGAGAATCGTGGGCGAATGTTCTTCTCACAGCTGCTCGACGCGCTTGGATATCTTCATAACCTTGACATTGCGCATAGGTGACTACTGACAACAGCCGTGAACAAACGGCCGCTAAGTAATAAGTGCATTTCTATTTGCACAAGATCTCTCTCTCTCACCATATACATCATTGAAGTAGACTGCTTCTATTCAGAGAAAACATCGTCCCTCTGAGGATTACAAGAAGCAGCCTTATCCTCTCTAAGCCGTTATGACAAAGGTAACTTACCTGCTGATCTGTTACGTTCAAATTTCTAAAGAGTTTGCATGCTTTTTGTTAGAGACCTAAAATGTGAAAACGTTCTTCTGAAGTCTTCATCACACATCAAGTTGGCGGACTTTGGATTCAGCCGGTTATGTTCTCGAGATGGGCGCCGAGTACTGAGTCAGACGTTTTGCGGCAGTACATTATACGCCTCACCTGAAGTACTGCAGGGTAATTACAAACGCATTTTCGTTTTTCTTCCAGATTGTTGACTAAATTCAAAATATGATTGGGAGTCATTTTCAGCCTAGTGTTAAATTAGCACGGGTAATAAACAGTGTCACGTTGTTTTCTTCTCCTGGCCAACATTAGCTTGGAACTCGTAGCGTTTCCCATTTGGTCAATTAACGTTCCGAAACAGGGGCCCATAACCGTATTGCTGTACTAATATGTGAGATTTGTTCTCATCTCACGGTCATACATACATCCGCTTACCGTTAACTGAAAGTAACATTTAGTAACACTAAGCATTTACGTGAACCGCACAACGAATCAATACGCTCGCATCGTTTATGGCTGATCGTACTTGTTCCACTGAAGCTGTATACTCAACAGTTACCGCTTCAAATACTGTGACTGTAATATTGTAAAAAACTGCTCACTGCGTATACAAGTTTATGATTTTAATGTCGTGCTACCGTTTGTCGCAACATCAAAGGTAAATAGAATTTCTCCTACCTCTTCGGCAGACGAAAACTAACGAACCTATTTGAAAGATTTGCTTCGCGGTCCCCGTTTATAAGTATACTTTCACGCTCTACGCTTACCAGTTAGATCATTCTGGCCTCGACGTGCGAGCTTTGCAAGCAACTAGTTCTATAGCAAACCGTTCAGCCAGTAGAACCATTGAATGCGATGTATAAAGGTGGTCAGTTTCCTTGGCAAGTGTAGGATCATTTGAGTTAAGAATGAACATATCAAATCCTCTATAATTGGCTGAAAGGTATGTGTTTCGAAAGGTCGAAAAGTTGACAAAATGTATTTTGGTTTCAGTCAGTGCAACTAATATGTTTACTCTGTAAAGTTTTGCGGAACTTGCATAGTACAAAGTAGCACATTAGGGCTCTGTTTGGATCACTGGAAATACTCTTACACATATGTGACTTGTGAATTATAGGTCAGCTTTATAATCCGAAGCTGTACGACGTCTGGTCCCTGGGGTGCATCTTGTTCATCATGCTGTTTGGCATCGTACCATTTGATGATGGCAACGTGAAAAAACAGATCAAACAGCAACTTAATAGAGAAGTACACATCTTTTATTAGAGCTCATACGCTTAATTATGGGTACATCATTACGAATATTCGGTGTATTTTACTTGGAAAGCGCTGGGCAAAAAATACTGGCTATAAGTCATTTTTTGCTGAGCCTTTTTCCTACCAAGGGAAGGGTTCTTCCTTCCATTTCCTAAGTCTTATTCCGCTAACGGATATTCTTTTCTTATGTCGAGTTGCGCCGGCCGATGGATGTCCATTTGTGGGACTACCTAAAAACCGCAAGTTTCTTTCATTACCAATATCCCTGGCGATAGATTATTTATGATGAATCTTGCATTTATAGTTCATTGCGATATTTCCTTTCTGAAGACTGCTTTATGGCCAGCTTGCATTCTATACTAGTTCACATAGTTCAGTGTGCGTGTGTGTGTGTGTGAAGTATAAGAACGACGCTATTTGGGTTGCCTAATCCTGGTGAAGGTGATATTGATAACGCTGTCTCAGGATACTACTAGCTGACAATTCGTACTAGCCTATGAAACTTTGTATTGAAAGAAATTCGTATTACTCGTTTTGTCACCCAAATCTAGGCTTAAGCGCAGGCTCAATCTTGACATGTAGCGCAGGAATCAGTCAACAGCCAGAAGTGTTCAATCTTCATTGGATTTATTAATGAATAGGACACGACGAGAACCGATTTCGTAACGCATGTATTTGTAGTTTATATCTTATTTGCTTGTGTGCTTATTGATTTCTGTACAGATTCGCTTCCCAAGTAGTCCTAACGTGGCTCCAGAAGCAAAGGATCTTTTGAGTTCAATGCTAGAACCAGATATCCTCGCACGGAAAAGCATACCTCGAATCATACGCCACCCATGGCTACTGGCAAGTAAGTCTGAAGGCGATCATGTGCGATACAGTCTTATCATTAGCAAGCGATAATGGCTATCATTTGGGCCAACTAAATGAACGAAATGCTCTCGTTTCGAAAAAGATCTCGAGCAAAAGTTTCAGGGATCAACGTGATCCTGCTTTATCGTATCTGTTTAGTCTGCTACTGGCTTAAGTCTTGAAGTATCTTGTACACGAAATTTTCATTGGCTAGGAGTCGCGTGCAGACTAAAAACGAGGGCACTTACCGTGTTTTTCTGATGAGTGATAACAACAAGGCAAAACCTTTCCAAGCCCATCAATGTCACTTACTGAGAGGTTTTGCTTGAGCGTGTCGAAGAATCAGCATGAAGAAGCTAAACTGTTCCTGAAAAAAAAAAATATCCGTGTCGAAGACGCGGAATACAACAAGTGGCCGAACATTTTCCAATGCCACTATCCGGTGTATTAAATTACAAGAGTGACCAACTTTACTAGCCGTAATAAATTTGCCGTATCTGAGCACTGTGACCGATTAGAAAATGTCGGAACACAAAATAAGTTATTGTTTTATTTCACTGACCGCGACTAACCTTCAAAATTAGCTGCGTTCAGTGGATTTATGTACCGTGTTTCAAGATAACCGTTTTCTTCGAGGAGCATTACATCTATATTATGTTTACCAAAGGTTATAATAAGGTCGAAATAATTACGTCGATCGTAATCATCCACTTTTATAAATGACCCATATATAATAGCATATACGGCGCATTGGCTATTTATTGCAACATCAGATCCGTTCTACTGCGACCACTTTCAAATCTTAGGTGAAGGCTATCGCCACTTTTATATGACTCCCAAGAGATCAGCTCGTACAAATCGAGTCGGCTTGGCCTGTACAATCTGCTACTCCATGCGAGTCTGCACTCACTGAACGCCCGCGGCCATTCACCGCTCAGTCCCAGCAGAACTCGCCGCTCAAATCTCGGCATTCAGAGACACCAGCATCTTTTCGAAAGCGATAACCCCCGGAGGCAGTAGTCGTCACATCCATTGGATACCTCATACGATCTAAAGACTTTTGCGTTTTACAGTAGTAGATACGTAAAGGCATACACTTAGCCAAATTTTAGGTTTTCCGCCTGTTTATTTAAATTGTTTATTGTATTTTATTGTTTATTTAAATTGAAAACTACGTTCTAACAACTAATAGTTAAAAGAACAAACCGGTGAGATAAGTAGCAGTAGTGGATAGTACAATTTTAAACCTTGACAAAAAACCAGAGCTTTCATAATCAAGCCTGCTTACACTCTAGCATAAACTCGATATAATCGTAGTCTATCGCGGGAAGTTTTGAATGGTAGTCGGATATCTGTCGGCATCGCGTTCCTTCCATGCTGGGATCGTTTCGTACTTCTGTCGTGATATTTTATTTTCGTCTGCATCGGCTTTCCAGCTTTGCTGCTTAAGGTTAGGTGGTGTTTTTGGGGTTCGCTTGGCTTCTCTTTTCCTCCTTAGTGGATTTATCATGCATTCGCCAAGGAAACAGGACCAAGGATAAACTCACCTGATAGATACCAGTGTTCGCCATTACTGCCACAAAGGGCTCACAAACATACATAGAGGTTCATGCGAGCATTGAGATTTGCTATGGTGCTTTTTACTTTGGTAGCTATGCGGGTAGACATATACCTGTCTGTTCTTTGTATACAAGTAGTTCTGTAAAATCCGGATTGGTGCATGAAGCTGTCTAGTCTCCTGCGACCTTATGCCCCTTCGTTTATCTTAGCGAAATCCGTGAGCTTTGCTCGACTTATTGAAAGTGAACCCGTAACAAACGAAGGACCAAAGGATACGACGTCGAAGACACATCAGTGATAGTTAGTTTTTACTGGAATAATAATGGCATTATAAACATCCGTGAGGCTGACGGTACGCTCAAGTTATGTCTGTTGATTAGGCAATAAATCGGAAGTACTCTGTGGAAATAAACAAAAAAAAGTGGGTAGAATAGGTCGCTGCTGTGACACTGTTTAAACGGTATCTATTATGCGTGCTGACATATGCACAATACTCAAACGAATCTTATCTAGGATTTGAAAATGATAGCATACTTGTCACAACATGAGCTCTTCTATTTCATTAAATATTTAATCAATCAATTTCTCCTATGAATAGAGTTTTTTACACTTTGAAACAGACATGAAAATTCAAAGCTCCGATATAACAACAGCTTTACGTGATGCGTCAGGCCCATGCCCTTTTCTTATATGTATGTACTGTTATTAAGTGAGCAAAACGTACGACTATATTGTCACAGCTTCCTTTTGAGCGAAGAAACTGCACCTAAGTTGACGTGCTCTGCTCTTAGAGAATGCGTAAATTATCTAAGTTGTTATTAAGAACGGCTTGAAAATTACTCAAGCAAGTAATTACTGTGATAAATGTAGTAGCGTATAATAATGATCTGAAACAGCTGAGTGATGATCAGTGTTATTAAAACGCTGGTATTGCGTACGTTAATAGAAAGATCACTAGTTTTGGTTCGATAGTTATAGTTGATGTAGTGGCCTGTTTAGTGTAACAGCTAGGTGCGGATAACTAACTGAAGCCTATGTACGATGGCGTATGCTCATGTAATCTTGCCATGAATTGAGCGCAAAGCCCAATGGAGGAGTTTTTGGTACAGTTCACGCCCGTCATTTTAGACTTGGCCTTTTACTCGACCGATTTCCCACGTAGTTCCCAAGTAAAAGACGGAGCTTGACCGTGCACACTGGGCTCCACAGAACAATCGTTATACACGGCTTACACGAAGAAGCGGATCCGCTTCGTATTTCTAAACGAAGATTATGTAAAGCCGTAAAATGACGATATTAAAGCAAATAGACCTTTTGGGACTACTTACCCGAAAACGCGAAACATTTTAAAGCAAACCAGCTAATGATAATGAATAATAATAATCCTTCCATTAGACCATTTCCATGCGCAAGACAGCAGGAACAAAAACAACTTATACTATTAAAAAAATTACTGTTACTAATTCAATAACGTTCGCGCAAAACGTCGCAGAATATAATATATAAAGCTGCAACAGGACCGTTTTTCGTAATTAATAAAAACGGCGGCCAATATATAATTTATCCAAGTAGTGTTAAGCGTGTGATCAGAATCCCTACAAAACGAACCAATACATTTTCAAAATCTGATGCTTCTATAGGAGAATATATATGATAGGTTGCCACGACGTCCGAATGCGTCATTGTAATTTATCATACGTATTAACTGCAGTGCGTAAATGCACCTGACCGGTCGAGTATCGTTAGCCATGGTTTGAAGCCTTATGTAAAATACTTAATTGCGTGAAGAGCCTTTTTTAAAACAAGAGACAACATATTTAATTTGATCGTCATAGATATGAGGGTGTCTATTTCTAGGGTAAACTGGCAGTTATGATAGAGCCCCTATTGCCTGGTGTTCTCGAGGCGTTGACCAACTGGCGCAGGCATGCATGTTTTTGGGATCGTTATTGGCATATCGTGGACACGGACATAGCACGAAATAAGGCCGATTCAATTTACGCATACATGGGTTCGGGGAGTCTGCTTGTTTTATTCTGCTCCTACTATGAACCGTTACACCAGTCAGTGGATCCTTTTCGTACTCGCTGATATGGCACGTTTTTGACGTTACGCTATGTTCTGCTGACCACCGCCCTTGGACATGAGCATCTCCTGCTGAGACACGCGGCCCATTGCTTACTAATAATAGTGCATATAGAATGTTGATGGACAATATTCCTGTGGGAACGTTACGTCGAGAGAGGGAAAAATCTTAGCTGTTTAAAACGTTTTTGCCTTGTCCGCTCAGTCGAGCAATAGTCGTAAATATGAATGTATGTTATGAAAAAACAGTTTTGAAATGATCATTAACAATGAATTAATAATATAACTAACAGCTAGTTTCTAAGGCGTTATAGCGCTGTTACTAATATAGCTCTACATAACGAAGCGTTTATATAACGTGTGTGCGTTTATGGTGCCAAATAGGGAATGGTTGAACCTTAATGCCTGCGTTTATCTCGAGCCGAAAGCCATGCCCAGTCTTCGTATCGATCCTGTAATGCTGTCTATATTTTTATTTTAACACAAATGCATTTCGTTATCTTGCAAACTGAGTTACGCAGACACGTAGCCTATTTACGTACCAAAGCCACAGATTAGGTCTTTGATTTCAATTGAGCCGTATCTAATCAGCATAGCATACAGCAAAATGTGAATAATAGCCCTTATCTGGCATCTTATAACGATATGATGGAAGATATTATGTTTAATAATTTTACATTTAGAGGTAACATCTGTGAAGCTGGTAAATTTCGGTTGCGGCTTAGCACAAATCGCCACATGTGCCATGTCGGCTATGTGCGGTTGGCAAAAAGGATTGAAATTCACGCACATAACAATAAGGACATCGTACTGAATGACTTTCACCGCGGAGAGATTCATATCCGACATCGGGCGTTACGCTAGGGGCTCCGAAGAATAAGCTTGTTCGGTAGGCGGAAGAAAGACAATCGGAAAAAAAACTGCTTTAAAATGCTGTAGGGATTTTCTGCGAAGGTCATCATTACAAGCTTCGACACTGTATGTGGCTAGCTAAACATGGCCCCTCTTAACCAGCCACTGGTCAAGATTATGTTAGCTCTCGTCGGCTTTTAGCTCAGTTTGTGTAACAGCTGTTCAAAATTGTGAGCTACAAAAGCAATTTCTAGGCTAAGAAAATGTTGTGAAAAGATTTTGTAAATCCTCATCACAGCCGCCTTCCTCTTGTACTTCCGTTCTCAGTTAGGGTCTGTTAGAAAGAAGAGAAATAGGTTTTTTAGGGTTTGGGAAGACAAACGTGTAAGGAAGGCTACTAGTGGATACTTAATTCCAAATTGACTATGCCATAGACAAGAAGAATACAGTGCTCGGTCTTGACGTTATTTTATTAATCTTCTAATGTTTCCACAATGAGAA